AGGATTGATTCGGTTTACTCTCACTTTCTCTCTTTAGTCTTCGTTTTCCAAATTTTCATTCATGTGGGGGATTGTTGGAAAATTATGACATTGAATGAAAATCAGTTTCATCGTTTATGAAAATCAGTTTCAGAATTTATGGAAATTATTCATTCGTTCCACTTCAGCGGTTCCTCTTCAGTTTAGAAATTTACCTTCAATGTTAATTGTGTTAATGACCACACTCTTCCTCTATGGGTATAAATAGAGGATCTCTTGGTTGGAAGAAATGCAAGTGTGAGATACAGCTTCAAGCAAAGAGAGATAAATGCTATTTCTTCCAGCAACAAGCTTTCCAGTAACAATCTTCGTCTTTCCGGTTTCTAAATGTTTCTTTTCTGATTTCTTTGAGAGAGAACATATTACAGCTAGTTCATAGGCGAGTAACGTTGTGCAGCGTGAACCGACAATCGATTGTATCCTGGGAATCAAACATCGATCAAAACCTCTTGCACACCGGTGAGGCGGCGAATTCGATTTAAGGAAACTGTGTAAACACGAGCCATCGATTTTGGTTTGATTTACTTTGATTCTCTAATTTTTCCCCAACATTTATCTCTCGCCTATCACAATTGAGTAGATAATTAAATCTAAAATTTAATTCAAACTTACACTATTTCTTTCCCTTCTATTAATTTTTTTTTTTTTGAATTTCAGCTCAATTTTCATGTCCGTCTTCATATTTGCACTAGCTATTCCTTATAATCACTGGAATCACAAAGAGAACAGAATTGGCTTCGTAGTCATATACTTACTGACATTTTTCTTTTCCAACTTCGGCCCAAATGCAACAACCTTCGTTGTCCCAGCAGAAATCTTCCCTGCCCGGCTAAGATCAACTTGCCACGGCATATCTGCTGCAGCTGGAAAGGCTGGTGCTATTGTAGGAGCATTTGGTTTCTTGTATGCATCACAGCCTAAAGATCCGAACAAGTGAGATGTTGGCTATCCAGCAGGCATTGGTATGAAATATTCGCTCATTGTACTCGGCAGCGTCAATGCATTGGGAATGTTGTTCACTTTCTTAGTGCCGGAAGCGAATGGAAATCACTGGAGGAGGCATCAGGTGAAAATGAATTGAATGCTGATGAGATAACAGAGCACACTGCTCCTTTCCACAGGACTGTTCCAGTTAATAGTCTGGTTAAATTTGTAGTTTGAAATCCTTAAAGAAGAATATGTCTTGCCAGTTTAAATACTTTATTACTTCATTTGCTTCTCTATACGATGTCAATCTTGTTTCTATATTGTATGTTTAGCTAAAGAAAATAAAATTGCTCAAAAAACTGTCATTATTCGTGTTATCTTCTTCCTCAATCTTTACCCCCATCTCTTGTCCCCCACGCCTAGCTTCACCACTTTCGCTGTTTCTTAGCGTCCGAGCAGCCAATGAAGAGTTTCCCCACTGAATAAGTTCCTCTAATCAAGTCAATATACTCCAATTTCTCAAAAAGTGGAAAAAAAAAAAATTCTAACGACACATAGGACATAAACAAGTGACAAATACCATAACTAATCCCTACTCCAACAATAGATAACACTCTTTCAAATGAGAAATCATCTCCTCGCACAAGCAATCTTTTAACTCCTAAAATTGTGTGTATAATACCCCTAACAATCCAGATAATCGACTGAAAATTTTGACTACATACCTTGTTCAAATTTTTCTGATACCACAATATTATTGACATCCCTTTTACTAACAAATTAATGCAACCCAAAAAGCACAAAGGGATGGTAAGGATGATTGACACGTGGACCAAAAAATGGACTGTCCTCTTGGCCAAATTTATGTAATTATTTTATTTTATTAAACTAAAAGCATGTTTGAAAATTGTTTGCAAATGATTTTGTTTGTAAATAAATAGAAATGAATAGTGAATATGTGATTAGTACTTGTAAGTCTCATAAAATTTATGAATTAAAATAAGAGGAAATTGCAATGAATGTCCACTTTTACATGGTCATTTGCAAAAGTATCCAAACTTTGTTACATGTTCATTTTGCTAAAATTGAGATCAAAATGCCCTTAATGAGAATTTCAAATTCCACCATGAAAACAAACTTTTTCATATAATAATTATAAATTGTGTTAGCAAATAGAAATTTGAAACATAATCTATAGTATGTATTTAAAAAAATACAAATATCAATCCATGCATTAAATGGTACATTCTCCCTAGAAGTGGGTACTAGGTTTTGGTTGAATCAGTCCCATGAAAATAAATTGAAATCAGATTTTTACATAATTTTTAGTTGGGTTCTTTTGAAATGGGATAGTTCAATTTGGGTGGTTTGCCCATCAAATCCGTCACAAACCATTCGACCCGACCCATCAACTTAAAAAAACAAAAACGACAAATCTTACTATAGTAAATGAAAAGCAGAAGCCACAACTCCCTAATCTCTCTCCCAATTCTGAGATTTTTCTACCTAATTGTCAACGTCGGTCGTCATTTTTCAGTCGCTCACGCCGATCGCGAGTCTCCTGTTATGTTCCAAGAAAATTAAGTAGAATAATTCCTGGCAATTCGAGTAGCCAAACACTCCACAAATGCACACGGCACAATTGAAATTCCACCTCCCTTTCATTCATAAGACTCTGGCCTTTTTATAGGCATTACAGACTTGCAACAAATAGGAAATAACTGACCCACTAACACACGGACTGTAAAATAGGTGCAAACAGCAAGTAACTGAATTGGAACGTGGCCCTTGAAAATACAAGTTGGAACCACCAAGCAACTGGACTTAAACTACCAATGAACTGACTCAAATAAAATAAGGAACTGACCCAAAAGAAAGAAAACAAGGCCTGTAAGTGCGGTCCAGACCCGGCCCAACTTTAGGGTTAAGCGGCTCATAACATATCCCCTTCAGAAGAACTTGCCCACGAGTTCGGGATATGTATTGCTCAGCTTCTCTACATCTACCCAGGTGGCATCCAATTTGTTAGCTTCCTTCAATTACTCATGATTACGGCTAAGGAACCTTCATCATGATCTTTCTCTTATTTTCCTTCTTCTTCTTTCCGCTCCATTCCTTCTAGTAAATAAATTCTTGGCTTGTTGCATCTATGGCCTGGGTGGAATTTTTAATCACAAAAATAGCACAGTCCTTTTTCTTTCCTTTCTTGCATATGAGTTGGGGACATTCTTTTAATAGGAAAACTATTTTTTCCAGGTGGATATAAGGGTGCAAGACTCGGGTTTGGTCTGTTTGGTGGGTCTGGAAGTCTTAACATAGGAGCGGGGGCAGGTAAGCTAGGCTGGTTGTTTGGATTGGTGTTTTGGTAAGCTGGATACTCGTTTGGGACCCCTTTTATATGCCTTATCACTTCCGCCTCTTGCAAACTAGCCAAGCCAAAGGCAGCTGAAAGAGTAGAGAGCTTAAACATTGTGACCATGATTCTCAATTCATCTTTTAGGCCACTAAAAAAGGTACTGATTCTAAACTCTTCTGTAAGGCCACTTATCTTGTTTGACAGAATTTCGAATTGGGTTTGGTGTTCTTCTACTGTCCCATTTTGTCTTAGTTTAGTGAACTCCCCAACTGGATCCTAAAATGCAGAGGGCCCAAATCTTACTTCTAAGGCTGATATAAAATCATCCCAATTATTGACTAGTCCTGACTCCATCAACCAACAATACCATGACAAGGCTTTTGGGAGGTACACTTTTTTTCGTTAGAGTAATTTTTGGTCTTCTGGTGTACTAAAATAGGCAAAAAATTGTTGGGCTTTAAGGACCCATTCCATAGGTTCAGCGCCATCAAACTTAGGAAATTCAAGCCTAATAGATCTAGCATGAATACCCCCTCCGCCTTCAAATAAAGGATTGTTGCTGACCTGTTTATGAGAGGATCCTTCTCCAGAATTGTGGTTTCTAACCAATATAGCCAACTGATCATAACTGGCTGCAAGATTGTTGAGCTGTTGTAAATCTGCTTCTAGCATTTGTTTCTGTTTATCTTGCTCTTTTCGCAAGTACACTGTTTCACCCTTCAAACTGGACATGGCTTTTGCAAGCTGGGCATGACGGGTACTATCGGCCATGGCGCAGGAACGGGGCTCTGATACCACTTGTTATGTTCCAAGAAAATTTAGTAGAATATTTCCTGGCAATTCGAGTAGCCAGACACTCCACAAATGCACATGGCACAATTGAGATTCCACCTCCCTTTCATTCATAAGACTCTGACCTTTTTATAGGCATTACAGACTTGCAACAGATAGGAAATAACTGACCGACTAACACACGGACTGCAAAACAGGTGCAAACAACAAGTAACTGAATTGGAACGTAGCCCTTGAAAATAGAAGTTGGAACCACCAAGCAACTGGACTTAAACTACCAATGAATTGACCCAAATAAAATTAGGAACTGACCCAAAAGAAAGCAAACAAGGCCTGTAAGTGCTGGCCCAGACCCGGCCCAACTTTAGGGTTCAGCGGCTCATAACATCTCCCATAGTCAATCAGNCTACAAAACATGTGCAAACAGTAAGTACGTGAATTGGAACGTGGCCCTTGAAAATACAAATCGGAACCACCAAGCAACTGGACTTAAACTACCAATGATCTGACCCAAATAAAATAAGGAACTGACCCAAAAGAAAGAAAACAAGGCCTGTAAGTGCTGGCCCAGACCCGGCCCAACTTTAGGGTTCAGCGGCTCATAACATCTCCCATAGTCAATCAGTGGTGAATCCCCTCCAAATTTCGCTTGAATTGAGCCGAAGTGTTCCAAAATTTATAGTCGGTTCTTGAAATTTTTTTAAATAACTTTGTTCTTTCTTTAATTCTTTTTCGTGGACTTTTCGTTATTTCACGTGATCTATTGTTGATTAATGTGTTCAATATTGTACATTCTTTATTACCTTTTCCATGGGTCAGATTTGATATTTTTTCTTCATTTGTGGAAATGTGTTATTTCATATATTGTAAACATGTTAGAGAGTTCGTTTGTGTAGTTGTGTTGATCAGATTTATTTGTTTATGTCAGATTCATTGATTTTTCTTCATTTTTTGATTAAATGTTCACTATTTTTACATTCTTCATTATGCTTCTTTAAGGTTATAATGATGTATGGTATCTTTTCAATTTTTTAACAAAAACTCTATACCGGCCTTATTTTATTTTTTAACGGTTTAGTAATGTATTCTACATTACTGCCTAAACAATTGGTATTCTAAGGGCCTCATGTCAAACTTTCAAAGTTTTTAACTTTCATCCATGTATTCATCAAGCCATTTTCACCCACTGGCAATCTGACTTTTTGAACAAGAAGGATCAACTAAGTATGAAATGATCTTAGGGGGGATAAAATACATTGAAGAAACTAAATTGACATAAAGCTATTAAACAAGAACACACATTCAAGATCATCAATTCCTCTACTCATGTAATTATAGAAGCTAGTGATAGAGTTTGTAGAGAACGAATTCATCATAAGGAGGGCAAACCTGAGGAAAAGTGCAGTTCTTGGTTCAATAACTATTCCCATCGAAAATGAAGGTCAAAATGCTACTGCATGGTATACTTTGGACAGCCCATCTGGGCAGGTAATATATTGCTCAAGTTTTGATCTTTTGAATATTTATTACAGTTACATTATAATTATTTTTCAGGTAACTTGAAACGTGTTATTTATATTGTTTGTCAGGGCTGTCTTCGAATTGAAACGCTAAAACTCCATGTGAATTCTTCCAGGTCCCTCTTCGTAATACATTTTTCTTTTTCTTTTCTATGTCTATTTTTAATTTTAATGATCTCTTTCTCCTATCTTTTTGTAATGTGAAACATTTTTTTTTAAGCTTAGGCCTACA